TACTTTCCCTTAGTTCAATGATATTTGTACTAATATTGTTTAGACAAGAAATTATATCTATATCTTCTACTGTGAATAACTACTATGAAGACAACAATATACAAAGTATTAATCATTGTAACTGTCCTACTAGCCTGTTTTGAAACTGTCTCATTGTTATTTGCTTCTTATTAAAACTAATAAAAAATTTAAAAAGATTTTCTTAAATATCAAAAAATAGCAAACTACTTACTTCTCACCATCATTACAAAACAATGTTATTCAAAGCCCACAGATAAGATACGTTAGTACTCCAATAGTAACTTAAGAAAAATGTATCCATTGCAAATGTTTAAAGTGATAAAAGAATATTTAGATTTTACTTTGGTAACTAATGAGCCCACACCAAATATTTAAGTCCCACAATAAATAACAATAAGAATGACAAAATGCTTTTAATAAGAGTACATAAAGTTCATCTAAAAAGCTTAAGGAATATGCATGCAAATTCCTTTAAAAAACCCTTAACCTCATGTTTTGTAGCAAACTGCCTGATCACTACAGTAGTTAGAACACTCTGATACTGTAAAACAGCCAGTGATGTTAATGCTATCTAAGGCAGTAATTGTTTTCAATTTGTTTTTATTACTACACATAAGTTTGAGCCCAGCCTGGGCAACTTAGAGACTGGTGAGACCTTGTCCCAAAGGGGGAAAAAAACAACGGCCAGGGATGTAGTTCTGTGCAAAGGTCCTGGGTTTAGTCCCCAACACTGTAAACAAATAAAAATTTAAAAAGAAAAAAATATTATTCAAAGCCCAGGCCATCTTTAAAGCTTCCAGTGATGAGGTGGGCCTTTGACATTTTCTTTCATAAGTTTTGGGTCAACATAGGGAGTCCTGATGCTTTTGAGTGGGTTTTCATTTGCATTAAGGCAAACATTTTCAAGAGACTTCTTCACACTTTTTCATCAATTAGTTGAAGAGAAATCCTAGGTCCTTGCTGCTGCTGCAGTACAGGAGTTCATGGTCCCTATCAATGACTTTCTCAGAAGCAAATGACTTCTTGGGCCCTACCAGCCCTTTGGCCAAAGTGCCTTCCAGAAGAGCCACAAGCATGCACAGGCATGTACACAGCTATTCAGCAGGGCTTGATGTAGTAGAGAACTGTCCCAGCTTTCCTGGTCCCAGTCATTGATTCAAAAGCCAATCTGTTCCCATGGTTGACACCCTTGGAAATAAGAGAAAGACGTGATCATGACTCCTTTCTTCACTGCTTGTAATTTAGCAAGAATGGGAGAAAAGCAGGGAGCAGAGCCTAGTGGGTGGGCTTTGCCCCCAGGGAGCAGGAATTTGAGGTCCCAGAAGGTATTGATTGCTATGTTTTCTGCTAAATCATTTTAGCATTTGTTATAGAGAAGCACAGAGGTAAAGACAGGTAAATCAGTACATATGAGCAAAATGCCCTGGACTGTTGTTTTCTCTCTACAGGGGGCTTGGCCTCAGTAATCTACACAGATACTCTCCAGACCCTCATCATGGTGGTTGGTTCTTGTATTCTCATGGGATTTGGTAAGTTGTGACAGTGTACAGTGCCCTGAGCTCAAAAATTATGGAATATGTTTCTGTCTGTTTTGTACTTCAGCTCCCAGTTGTATTAGGTCACATTTTCCTCTCTTTTATACACTTTCCTTCAAGGAAATGTCTGTATAACTTCTTTCCTCCAATTTGATCCCAGTATGAGGAATTAGAGATTTTTTTCAGAAAATTATTGCTTAAATTATGTTTTAAACTTAATTGCTTTCCGTTTATAATGGAAAAAATTAGTACCATTGAGTTGATAGATTTACACAAATACTGATGTAATTGGTTCAAAGCACAAAATCATTCAATTACATAGAACTTTCATGAAATTAAAGGATAAATATTGTGGAAAAATTTATATAACTTTCTACAAAGCTCATTATACCTGTTTTTGAATAAGTGCATTAAAATACAGTACAAAATCTATTTTTGGAATGTACAAGCACAGGTTGTGTTTTCTTTGATGATGCTTATTTACCAATGCCATCATTTCACCTCATTCTCTTAAATGGCAACAACAAGGAAAATTGATCGATCTAATTTACACCTTGCAAATTTTTATTTTCTTTCTTATTTATTTTCTTTGCATAGGAAACCATATAAATAATAGAAAAAATAGAAGGTTCAAGCAAATGTTTCCTACCTGCCTTCTAGGGCAATGATTCACTCAGTGCTGAAAAAAACAATTCCAAAAGTAGACACACTTACTCAAAAAACTTAAAGATGCAAGCATCTAAACTTCAGTGCACTAGGTATCAGCATCTCATTTCATCACACTGAAACTGCTAGCTCTAATTTTTTTCTTTTCAATTTGTTTTAACATTGGCTGAATACATTGTTGAACCAGAACAGATTGGGAATAAATTCACAATGGAGAAGCTCTGGGTTGAGATTTTTTGATAGCTAATTCCATCCATGATTTTTACCATGCAGCTGGACAGTAAACAAAATTTTAAAGAATATCATAAAAATAAATGTTAAAGAATAATTTGCTTTATGTACTTTGTGAAAGTCAATCTGTTTCCATAGTTAATGCCACTGGAGATAAGAGAAAGAAATGGGTCATGGAAAAAATGTCACTGAGGATTTTAGTAGCCTGCATGGAGGTGCATATAAACCTCCACCATAAATAGGCAATCATAAACCTGTGCCCTAAATTTTGATAACACATTTTATCTTATGCCTTTTCAGCATTTGCTGAAGTTGGAGGCTATGAAAGCTTCACAGAGAAATACATGACTGCCATCCCTTCTATAGTTGAAGGTGACAACCTGACCATCAACCCCGAGTGCTACACACCTCTGCCAGATTCCTTCCACATTTTTAGAGATCCTATCACTGGGGACATTCCATGGCCAGGATTAATATTTGGAATGTCCATTTTAGCTATTTGGTACTGGTGTGTAGATCAGGTGAGTAAATTGTGTGTGTGTGTGTGTGTGTTTATGTCATAGAAAAGCATCTGCTTCTATCTGTGCACACAGTAATTAGGAATCAAACATTTTTATAATGTTTCATAAGAAAAAATACCTTCCTTGTGTCTTCATCTCTACCTTATTTCTTTTACTTCAGAGACAAAACTTTCAGCATTTTCAAATGAGTATCTAAGTATTTATTCCTGCTCTCCAAAACTTCCTATTCATTGTGAGGCTTGTGAAATATGACCATGGATGTCATCTTGGAGAACACTAGAAATAAACTCTCAGATCCTGTTGAAACACACTGAATTGGAATTATATTAACTGGATCCTTCATGTGATTCAATTACTAATATTGATCTCTCTTACTGTTCTACTTAGGATTTTCTCAGGCTTTTTGTGACAAAAGTTGATAATTTACCTTTCCATCCTCAGTTCTTACAGGCATATTTCCTATTTCCATTCTTTTTTTCTTTTCTTAAAAGTAGAAAAATGTATTGTATAATTCAGACCAAAAAAAAAACTCTTTAGGTAACATTAAAATATATTAGTAGTTGGCCCAATTTGTCTTTCGAAGATTTCACTGGTAGCCATTCCAAATAATCTGTATAACTCAGCATAAATACTTGGTGGATATTAAAAGGCCAATAAAAAGTCATCTTACAATGGTTCATGGTGTAATAATTAATTTATATTAGATAATATACTTTAATTGATGGATTGGAATTTTGAATTTACACAATTTTCCTACCTATACTGTCCATATTAAGTTGCATATTCTTGTACTGAGTTGTTTGCCATAAAGAATCAATAGTTAAAAACATTGCTTTTATATATGTTAGAATAAGAGTGTATCCATTCAAAATACAGACTCTCTTTTGAAGAAGCAACTTGAGAACACATTTTGTTTAAGCATTTACTAATTTAGCTCTAAAATATTTATTTATAACATTTAGTTTTACAAACTAGCCCCTTCACCCTTAGCATTTTTGTAAGCCTATTTTGTAGCACCAAAAAAAAAAAAAAAATGCCATAAAGGTAACACAACCTATTGCTTACCCCCTCAGTGTAACTTAGAGAGGAGAGAGCAGGGCTCAGAAAAATTTTTCAAGGCTTTGCAGGCCAAGAAATCTTGGTAGCGGGGCTGGTGAGATGGCTCAGTGGTCTAAAGCACCTACTTAGAACAAGCTTAGCAAAGCACAGGGACCGCAGTTCAATCCCCTAGCACC